TTGGGAAGAGCATGAGTTCAAGGTCACCCTTGGCTACACAGAGGAGTCAAAGCTATCACGAGGCATAAGAGACTGGGTCACAAACACTCCAAAAGGAATGGAGCTAGAAAAAAAAAAAAAAAAAAAAGGCTCAGCAGTTAATATCATTTGCTGCAAAAGCAGAAGGACCAGAGTTCAGATCACAGCAACCACATAAAAGCTAGATGTGATCTGCACATGACTGTGACCCCAGCGCTGAGGCAGCAGGGGGAGGAGGATCCGTGGAGCCTGCTGCTACCCATGATGCAGAAAGGGAGCTCCAGGATCAGGAAGAAATCCTGCCTCAAAGGACTATTGGGGAGAGTGAGAGACGGAGGAACCCAATGCTCTCCTCTGGCCTCCTTTCATGCACATAGCTCTGCACATCTACATACACGTGTGTGCTAGACACCACACACAACTACCCTATATAAACACATACAGGGTCTTAGTTTCTTTTCTAATCGATGTGATAAAAACACCTTTACAGAAGCAACTGAGGAGAGAAAACGCTGATTTTAGCTGATACCTCCAGGTTACAGTCCACAGAAGGAGCTGCAGGGAGCTTGTCATGCCCATAACCAGGAACAGAAAGCAATACACACATATACACTTGTGCTCAGCTTGCGTTCTCTGCTCTTACAGTTTAGAATCCCCTGCCTAGGAAATGGCACCACCCACAGTATAGGCAGCTATCACCAACTCAAACAATGCAGTAAAGACTATCCCCCATACACTTGCCCAAAGGTCAGCCTTATCTAAACAGTCCCACACTGACACTCTCTTTCCAAGTGATGCCAGACTGGGTCAAATTAACAAGTATCATTTAGACACACACACACACACACACACACACACACACACAAATACATCTAAAAAAAATAAAAGCGACATCTGTCCAAAACATAAGGTGTAATTTCTTCTTTTGTTTTGTTTTCTTCCACTTCCATTGTCCCTCCCTGAACCTGAGTACTAGGTCTTAAACCTAGAGCAACACACATGTTCTACCTGTAAGCTCTATCCCAAGTCACATTGGAAAATACATACCCCCAAAACCAAGGTCGATAAATATCCAGGTCCACAAATCCTTCACGGATACCCTGTTGAGGTCCCAAACCCAATATTATACAACTAAACCCCCAAGTTTCTAACACTAATATGAGTCATGATCAGAGGATAACTTGTGAAAATCAGTTCTGTCCTGACACCATGTGGGTCTAGGGCAAACACCTTTACCCGATGAGCGATCTCACTTGTTCACAAGCGGCATTTTATGGAAGTGAAATTATTCTACAGCAACATACATGATAACAGGACATAATTCACTCTGTACTTTATGCAGGAAAATATATAAATAATTTCTAGTGAATATACACAGCTAATCTATATAAAGGTATGACACTCATCATTTCACTTAACAAACATTATGTTTCAAAAAAAATGTATAGTGTATGCATTTAATCCAGCGGCAAAACCAGGCAGATCTCAGAGTTCGAGGCCAGCCTGGTCTACAAAGCAAGTTCTAGGACAGCCAGGGCTATACAGAGAGACCCTGTCTTGAAAAACCAAACCAAACCAAACCAAACCAAACATGTCTAAGCTGGGAGGGGTATACACGCTTTCTAGTACTTGGAAGAGGCTTGAGGCCAGTTTGGGATACAGGAGACACTCATTTTAAAAACAAACAAAATCAAACAAATCTGTATTAGGGGTTGGTCTGGTCCTACGTATTAAAATGCTGCTTTCAGTGTCATGAGATCTGGTTACCGCCCTGTCATAGGTATTGTTATTAATGTTGAACTATCTCCTGTACCCTGCTGATGAGAAGAAATGTTCCCCAATTATCCGTGATTAAGTGATTAAAAGGCTTACGAATAGGAAGGGCAGAAAGTGGCAGGATAATGTTCTTTTTGGAGGGGACAGAGGATCTTGGGAAGGAGACAGGTACCTGAAGAAAGCAGAGAGCTGCTTTCCCATGGGTTAGCATGGGAGAAGCACATGGATGGAGGAAGCAGCCCAGATCAAAAATAAGCAAGTATTTATAAAATTTTGAATGGGAGGTAGCCTGGGATGGGGCTGGGAGGTAAAGGTAGTTTAGAGGGTTAATATCTGCCCTGCCCCAAGTAAGATAAGGCTATTCTAAAATCTCAGGTATCTATGTCTTTTATTGATTATAATGGCAGTTTAGATAATACCGTCATAATAATTATAGGGCTAATAATAACCTGTATTGGAATACATACAGTCCTAAACATAAATATACTCACATACATATATATTTATATACAGTCATTCATACATACATACACACACATATACCACACATACATGCAGTTTGGCCAAGCCTATCTTCTCATATGCGTGTTTTGTCCCCACCCACCTCCTCTCCCATCAGTGTCTTGCTATGTTGCACAGGCTGGCCCTGCAATCACAATCTTCCCACTCTTACGCCCTGTGCCCCTGGATTACAGGCATGTACTGGCATCTCTCTTACATGAGAAACTAATAGGTCATATAATTTAACCCCCTCCATCAGACTTAGAAGAGTCATGAATATGCTAATGTATTTAATGTGTCTGGTTTCCAAGAAGAGGACAGAAAGTGTTTAAACAGGGATGTTCGGGGAAGGACTTGTTGCTGAACTGGAAAGCTGTAGAGTGCACTTGTAGAAAAGCCACTCTGATAAATTCTGTACTGCTCTGTGGAACATGAAAATCAATCATCACATACCTCCAGATGGAAATATGAACAAAGAAACTATTAGTTTATAAAATTGGAGAAAATCAGGAAAGCAGACTACTCAGACATAATGAGTCAGCTAACTAACCAGTTGTCGATGCCTAAGAAGGTTATGCTTCAGTTAATCAGTAGAGAGACATTAAAACCAACGAAGTTCCCAGTCTGCTTGGCTAACTAGGCAAAGCAAGATCTCCAGCTGCCAGGGGAATCCATCGCTTTCCTTCTCAGAGAATACGTGTTTTAAGCCAAATCCTTCCTTGTGTGAGGGAGTACATGCCCGGAAGAAATCGTGCAAAAATAATTTATACTGGGTATTTGTTGTTGAAGTAAAATATAAAATCTTTCTTTTAGCCAAAAGTTCCATTAGAAAAGAGAAAGCTCAGCCTCAGCTGTTCTCTCTTTGCACCCTAACCAGCTCTCCCACTGAGCTGGTGCTGTACCCATTCTACGAAGGGTCAAGGAGGCTGCCGTTGATTGGAGCATAGGACCTAGTGAGATTGTTCTTCAAATGGGGGCGAGGGTGGAGTCAGACCTGAATGCTAGACCAGCGGTAAGCTGTTCTCTGCTTCTTTGAGGCAGGCTTAGTTGCCCCCTTCTAAAAGTGTACAAACCAATGCCAGGGTCACACACTGGGCTCCAGACATGTGGAGACATATATGATGCCACTGCTGCCCAGGTTAGGATATGATGGAGAGGATGGAGGCAGTGAATGAATATATGGGAGGAATGATGGAACATTCCAATCTTCCAAATCCTCCCATCATTCCAGATCATCCAAGATCAGTATCCTCTTTGAGATGTTCCTCAGAAGATGGAACAAAATTGGGCTAGATAAAGACGCTTAAAAGCAAAGCAAAGCAAAAAAAAAAAAAAAAAAAAAAAAAATCACAGGGAGAGGCAGTCAGATCTCTGTGAGTTCAAGGCCGGCCTGGTCTACAGAGTGAATACCAGGACAGCCAGAGCTACACACAAAAAACCTGTCTCGAGAAAACAAACAAATAACCCAGAAAATCACATTTGTGGGTAATATTGTAGGATAAAGATTTAAGAAGAGATAAGGTGAGGGAAATCTGGGGAAGAGGGGATAAGAGGTACGTTAGCCAAAACCAATGTTTTAAACCTTGGGCAGAGTGCAGGGAATCATATGAAATAAGAGGGAGTTAGTAAGATCTGCAGAGGACAGGAGCTCCACAAGGACCAAATATATCAGGGCACAGGGGTCTTTTATGAGACTGTTTCTCCAACCAAGAACCATGTATGGAAATAACCTAGAACCCCTGCTTGGATGTAGCCCATAGTAGCCCAGTATCCAAGTGGGTTCCCTAGTTAGGGGAACAGGGACTGTCTCTGGCATGAACTCTGCTGCTAGCTCTTCGATCCCCCCCTCCCCTGAGGGAGGAGCAGCCTTACTAGGCCACAGAAGAGGACATTGCAGCCAGTCCTGAAGAGACCTGATAAGCTAGGGTCAGATGGAAGGGGAGGAGGTCCTCCCCTATCAGTGGACTTGGAAAGGGGCAGGGAGGAGATATGGAAGGGATGGTGGGATTGGGAGGGGATGAGGGATGGGGCTACGGCTAGGATGCAAAGTGAATAACCTGTGATTACTATAAAAAAATAAGAATTATTATAAAAAAAAAACCAAGGTTTTATGAAGAACCCTTATAGAAACCAACTGCTCTTTGTGCTAATTAAGAATTTAATTTTGTTAAAAAGAAACTTGAGGACAGGTTCCCTGCAAATGTACATAATGCTTTCTCCCAGAATGCATAGATTGATTATTGAATTTCAGTGCCAGGCATGGGATAGTTCCCTATGAGTTATTATTAGTCAGGGAAGCTCGGAGTGTCTGAAAACAACACAGGTTATTGCCATTACTCTTGTTTGTCCACTACAGCTAGATGGTATGATTGTGTATGATGACGTAGAGAAACTAAGCTGGAACTCAAAAGAAAAGTTATCACTAGACTTACTCAGCAGTGGAATCTGCATGCTATAGCACTAACCTCCTAAACGTAATGTGTCTCCTTGTGCAACAGTGGTAACAACTAGTTTCTGATTGGATCCTCCTGCCTTTGTGCTGGGACTACAGGCACGGGACACTATGCCCTATAGATATGACTCTTTCTGAGGGGAGTGAATACACAGGAGAAAGTTGAGAAAATGTGGAAATTAAGAGGAAAAAAAATTCACAATCAAGGAGCCAGAGCAGAGAGGAGAACGAGCAAGGGGTCAATCAACTGTACCTTCATCCCTGCAGCCGCTGCAGGCCCACTGGGGTCCACAGCCTGGATGTGGCATGGTTTACTTCCTCGTACAACAAAGCCCCAGCCAACTGCATCACCAACAATCTAGAAAGAAACACCACAGTTAGCAAACAGTACACTGTCCCTGGCAATTTGCTTGTCTTTCCAAGAGAGTGAAGTCTCACCTAGGATTAACTAACTATATGTCTTGACATACATTTTTTTTTTTTTCTTCATTTCATCTTTATGTTTCAGGGGACTGAAAATGTAGTGGAGACACATAACCTGTTTGGCAGAAGGAAATCTGTACTGGGGAGGTCACTCCCCAGTAAGCAGCTGGCAGCATACCTCCTCCTCGGGCTGCCAGCCAATTTCATATCAGTATTAGTCGCAGAAGATCTCAAAAACATCACTGAACTTTCTTTCTAGGTTCAGTCTCTATCTCCATATAATCTTTCCTTCATATCCAAATGATAGACTTTGACCCAGCCTAGAAGAGCAGTTTAAACTACTAATGGCTGGAGACGTGAGGAGTCTTGGCCTCTTTTGAAAGACAATTTTCCATACTGAGAAAAACAAGCAGAAAAGTAGAAAAAGTTCACAATTTACAAACAGACTCTAATCCAAACACTGTTTGGTGCCAAAGCATGCCTTTTCCTACAAAATCAGAACTGGCAGCAAGGTTCCCTAGATGGTTTCTGAGGCATCCTTAGCACCTATGCCAACTGGAGTAGAGATGAAACACTCTGGATGTCAAATATTAATGATGCTGGCATGCAAATACAAAGTAAAATGATTATTCTCAAAACACAGCCATCTCTCAAAGGCTGGAGCTGGGGGAAAAGCAAGAGGGCAAGAGGGAACTCCAGTGGAAATTCTTAAGACTATCAGCCATGTCTGTGGTTTCAGGATCTGCTACCATGCATTTATTATATCCAATTTCACTTTCTAATGCATGGTGTGCCCTTTTCCTTGATACAGATGTATTATAACAGCCCTTCCTTATGTTAACTCCCCAGTGCTCAGCAAAAGTCTGGGGTGTGAATCAATGTGCGGGAAAACTTCTCTTTGAGGTAATAGACAAGAGTTGTTGGGAAACAAAGGAAGAGAGGAGATGTTCTCCTAATGCTTATTGATAAACGTGCTGCAGGCTGAGAGAAGAAAGCAAGTGGAATAGTGGAGATGAGAACACATGGATGGGCCTGGGCATGTCGCAGTTGGTAGAGCACAGGCCAAACATTCACAAACCAGTGTGGCCTGCATTCCCGGTACTCCACGGGTGGAGGCCGGAGGATCAGAAATTCAAAGCCATCGTTGGTTATGCATAGTTTGAGGTTATGTGGATACTTCAGAAGAATAACTTAGATTCCACTTGAATAAAATCAATGGGGTCTGTGGAGGCAGAATGAAAGAACACTAGGAAAGAGTGAGTCCACAGCTACATGGACTACACGGTCAGGTGGCCATACACCTCAACACATGCAGACATTCATCCTATTGTTTTGTTTCCTTTCTCCTCTGTGCGACTTTCTAACATCTTAATGATTTTTTAGAATTAACCGTAATGAAGAAGAAAATCAGGATTTTTTTTTTTTTGTACTATCATTATCTTAAAAGTACATAATTACATTAGGGGGTTTACAGAAAAGTGTTCAGTTTGGTCCCTACGCCACACACTGACAGAAGGTTTTGCATAGAAGCTACACTTACTGTGAATGTCTTCCTTGCATATGGAGCCCCAGGAGTCAAGAGTTCCTCGGAAGTGACAGGTCTCTTCAGCACTAAGAGATAGACATTGTGTCAGAGAATACACATTTGTAAGTCTTTCTCTCAATCACACAGCAATTATTTCCTGAATGCCTTCTCTTGAATGGCAACCAGGAAAAGACCTCCACCTCACATTCATTCATTAACTGAGCAGACAGGAAATACCAGCAAAGAGCTTAAACCTAACTTAGAGAACCATGGGAATCCAGGGAGGATGGGGAAATGAGGGGAAAGGAAGCAAGATGCCTTTAAGGGGATAAAGGGAAGAATCAAGTCTTCCTATAAAGGAAAAGGCTGTTTCAGATTCATCTTTTTCTTCTGACTTCTTATATGCACCTCTATATGTCAAGACTGCAGATGGCAATAGTGGAGAACTCCCCCTTTCAGTGGACTAGGGGAAGGGGAAGAGGGGAGAAGGGTGGGACTGGGGGAGTTGAGGGAGGGAACTTCAATCAGGATATATAATGAATAAATTGTGAAGAAGAAGAAGAAAAAAAAAAAAAACCAACTACAGCAGTTCAGCGACCATGTTGCAGATGCTCCATCCAACTCCCTGTCCCCAACACACTACATCCATCCCATTCACTAAACTTCATTCTTTTCTCTAATAAATAACCTAGAAACATAAGACTGCTGCCTCAAGCTCTGAGGAGCCAGACCAGGAAACTTTCCTGAGTATTCTCCGTGGGCTGAGCCATTGCCCTGGATCCTGGCAAATCCAATACTCATTTAACCTCTACCTGAGCCAGTGACCTAAAGCGGTGGTTCTCACCCTGTGGGTTTTGATCTCTTTGGGAATTAAATGATCCTTTTACAGGGGTTGTCTAAGATCATCTACATATCAGATATTGACATGACATTTCATGGCAACAGCAAAATTACAGTTATGAAGTAGCAACGAAAATAACGTTATGGTTTGGGGGGCATCACCACAACATGAGAAACTGTGTCATAGGGTCGCAGCATGCGGAAGGTTGAGAACCACTGATCCAAAGAGTCTGGCTCATCACTGTATTAATCTTATGTGTTTTTTTTTGCGTGTGTGTGGGGGAGGCTGGTTGTTGTTTGTTTGGGGTTTCTCTGTGCATAGCCTTCACTGTCCTGGACTCTCTTTGTAGACCAGGCTGGCTTCAAACTCACAGGGATCTGACTGCCTCTGCCTCCCAAGTGCTGGGATTAAAGGTGTATGCCACCACTGCCCGGCTTTATTTGGTTTTGTTGGTTTGTTTGTTTTGTTTATTTGTTTGGTTAAAAAAAAACCAAAAAAACAGGGTCTTGCTTATATAATATGTAGCCCAGGCTGGCTTTAAGTTCACTGTAATCCTACCCCAGCCTCCAGAGCTGGGATTGCAGCTGTGTGCCACCATGCTGGCTTCATTTGAACGTGAAATTAGATATAATAAACTCAGAGTAGAAAAACCTAAAACCACAGAAGTGTCTGAGAGTTTTCAATTTTTTTTTCCTTTTTGCCATTAATTTTACATGTGGGAAAACTGGGCTAGAAAAGTTAATTTGCACATGTTCAAGATCCTGTAGCTAAAATGTGGGTAGTAAAATTAAGATCAAATTCAGGCGTTGGGGCCAGGCGCCACATTCTTAGCAACCTTCACACTGTCCTCCTGTGCTATGCCATCTCAGAAACTGAGACGATAACAATGTGGAGTTTTGTGTGCCTATTCTCAGCTCACTGCTTTTGCCTAACAGGGCAAGAGACAGCTGCATGAACCAACATCCCCCCCCCCCCAGTAATGAACTTCATCATCCTCTAGTGATGCATTTCCCTGTCTATTCTTTGATAATTTGGAATTAGAGAGGGGGCTGTCTTAGCATCCCAGGGCAACTAATGGGGATAGGGCACAAGGACCATCCTAACATGGGCACAGCAGAGGTTTAAGGGAAAGGAGCCAGGGCGACGGGCCAATCCGGAAAAAACGCCCACCTCTGATTCCCTTTGGCAGTGGCATTCATTCAGAGTCAGACTCTGGTCCCCAATAAGCGAGGGTGCAGCAGCACCACAGCAGCAGGGGCAGGACAGCAGGATCCCCAGGCAGCTGGGCCCACCTGCTGGGTGAGCCCCAGGCTTAGGAGGCCCTTTCCTAGTAGAGAGCCAAGAACTGCTTCTTGAGAAGGGGGCAGGTGGTTGGGATTATAACTTTTGCTTTTCAGAAAGCTTTGAAAGTGAAGTGACATTTGCTCAGATGAGGAGTGGGTCAAATATCAAGAGGAGAAACACATCTCTCAGGCCACACAAAGGAGGTAGGCGAAGCAGTGAGTGTCTGAGGGATGAGACCTTATTGCTTAGCGGACAAGCTCCTCTCCATGCCTGTGACTCCTCAGGGGGTTATGAAAAATTGGTGATATTTTGGGCAGCAGGACTGGCTGTTTATTTTAATGTGCTTTTTTTTTTTTTTTTTTTTTTTTTTAAATAGTGTTGAGAAACAGGAACTTTGATACCCAGGTAATTATCCTGCAGATTTCTCTCTTATTCATCCCCATGACACAGATTATAGCAACTGCTATGGCTTTGTTCTCACTTTGGGAGAGTGGTGAGGACAGATAGTTATATTTACTCTAAATATATATACACAGAGATGGCTATTATTTCTATTTTCATTTGTTGGAGAGAGTGTGTGTGTCTGTGAGGGAGTGAGACTGAGTGAGACACACACACACACACACACACACACACACACAGAAGATGATGTGTCACATGTGTGGAGGTCAGAGAATACTGTGTCATGGCTTCTTTCCTTCCATGTTTACGTTAAGTCCTGGGGATTGAACTCAGGTTGTCAGGTTGGCATGGCAAGTTACTTTCTTGTTCTGAAAACCAGCCTTATGATGGTTAAAGTCTTCACGGAGGCTGATGAACAGGTTTTGAAACTGCAAGACACCAAGGATAGGTGGGCTTGTATATAAGCACTCCTCTTCCTTACGAGTGCTAGGCACCCAGGCTAAGTGCAGTGGCTCATGCCAGTAATCCCAGCATCCAGCAGGAAGAAGTGTAGCAAGTTCAGGACTAGCCTGGGCTACATAATGAATACCAGGCATGGCAGGACTACATAACAACACCTTGTCTCAGCAAACAAACAAATGAGAGAGAGACGGAAGAGAGAGGCATACAAGGCCCACATAGAGCCTTGCTTGCCATAGTCTAAGAAAGCTGTTTTTGTTTTCTGCTGCATTTACAAGTTGCTGAAGCCCGTTTTAGAGACAGTGAGTGCCTCTCAGCTGCTGGATCCAGCTACTGGGGGTGCTAGTACTGGACAGTCCTCAGTTGACTTTGAGAGTCATCTCTAAAGGCAGCTGTCCTGAGCCAAGCTATGCCTCCCTTTCAGGGAATCAATGATGAATAACTCAACAATGAGGTCCTCACCTCAGCTCTCTCAGAGCCACTCTATGCATTTCTGCAGGGCATCCTAGCACTGTCGAGCAGTTACCTTCTAGGAGCCTGCATCACAGCCCGTGTATGATTCTTCCCCAGACACTCAGCAGGTGTTGGCTCAAAAGGATGCTTTTGTAAGATTCCTGCTCCTTTCATCTCTGTTTCCCAAGGAACTCGGACTGCATATGCGCCCAAGCCTCTACAGATAGGAGCATGGCCACCCTTTTTTCACCCACCAGATTTGGGGTTGCAGAGCACAGGGGGGCTGCTGCTGAGCGTTGGGCTGCTGCTGAAGTAGCCGCTGCTGCCACAGCTACTCATGCTGCTCCTCCGCACGGCAGACACGATCTTGATCTCCTTGCTGGGGCTGACTGTAGAGGGGGAAGCAAACACAGTCACTGAGCAGGTGGTGGTCTCAGGACCTAGAACTCCTGGGCTATCAGCTGCAAAGTCAAAAGTCCAGTTTGGCCACATAGTCACAGACAGCATAATTCAAGCCATTCCCTTTCAATTTCCTGGACTGTCAAAGGAAATAATATTATTTCACAGGAGGGGGTGTGAGTAGAGGATCACATGATATATATATATATATATATATATATATATATATATATATATATATATATATATATATATCTTTCTATTCCTCTTCCTTTTCAAAATGGGGCTCATTATGTAGCCTGTGCTAGGTTCAACCACCAGAGTCCTGGAAGTACAGGACACACCACACTGCCAAGTTTACAAGATATTTTTTTCCTGGAGTATTTGTGTGTGTGTTGCTGTGTGTGTATACATATTCACGTGTAGGTTGTATGTACATATGCACGTGTGCACGTGTATTCTTGCATGTAGAGGTCAAAGGCCAATACCCAGAGGCTTCCCCAGTCACTGTCCCTCTTATGTTTTGAGACATGGTTTTTCTCACTGAACCTGGACCCTGATGACCAGGCTAGATTGACCAGCGAGGCCCACTCATCTTGTCCCCATCTCCCTAGCACTGGGATTGTAGACACACAACAATATATCGTTTTATCTCTTCTTAATCTTAACATCTTTTATCTGAGGGCTGCGGATCTAAACTCAGGTCATCACGATTGAGTGTTGGGCACTTTACCAACTGGACCGTCTCCCCAGTTCCTACAGGACATGAATCCAGGAACTACCAAACCCAGGCTTTCCTTTCCTGTAGATAAACCCGATGCTGGCGATGTATGTGGTACTACACAGAGCTAGTAAATGACCCTGATTTAATGACAGCCAGCAATCATTTAGAAGCACGGAAGACGGCGCATACTGAGGCTTTCAAACTGTTGCAAGAGACAGAGTCTCCAGTTATCAAACTTGGTTCTTCCTGCCACAAAATAGGGTGGCTCTGAAGGCTGAAGGCCTAGAAGTGAGGGAAACAGGACACTAGCTGACTGGCACATATAAAGAAAGCAAACTAGCAAAGAACCAGTGATGGCTTTACCGGGCTGTGCTAGTATATTCTCCTCTCATGTCTACTGAACCTACTCAAGACACAGGCAAGGCCCTGTCCCAAAGGAAGATTGGATTGCTTCTCAGCATCTGCAGGAGACTTCGGAGTGTGTCCCTCGGGTGACCTTGGGATATAAGGTTGGCCTGCTGGCCTTCAGCTGGCTTTACTTTCTACTCAGCAGCCCTTGCTTCATTTTCATCCTGAATCTGGCTGTGTGTGAGGACTTGGCATATATGGGACTCAGAAAGGGGCAGGATAGCGTGGAACTGCTGGAACGAAGCTATGTCTACCACTTGGAACCGTACAGCACCCCAATGCCAGAGTGTTTTCTTCATCTGTAAAAGGAGGACAGGAACAAGCATTTTCTTAGGGTTAGAGTAAGAATTAAGTGAGAAAATCAAGAAGCCATGCCTGAGGCATGGAAATATCTTGATTCACAGGGTTAACTATCCTTACTATCAGCTCCTGTTTAAAAGCAGGACATGACAAATATGTTTGTTACTGAGGTAAGTCCACTGCTTATTGTCTCTCTCCTGCCTTCCTCTCTCTCCTACTTCCTTCTTTACTTTCTTCCTTTCCTCTCCCATCCCCTCTCTTCCTCTTTCTTTTGAGGTGGGGTCTCAAGAAATAATGTCTCCAAGCTGGACCTTGAGTTCCTTATCTCCATCTCACAATCCCTGGGATCACAGGCTAGTGCCTCACGCCCACCCTGTGCTTCTGAGCTTTAAGTCACCAAATTCCTTAAGTCAATGCCAAGTTTTCAAGAGGAGTTGGAGATCCCTTTTAAGCACCTCACACTTCTGTATTTGAGGTGGTGTGTGTGTGTGTATGTGTGTGTGTGTGTTTATTTTAGCACAAGGTCTCATGTAACTCAAGCAGATCTCAAATACTATAGTGAAAGATGACCTTGAATTTCCAAGTCCCCTGCCTCTTCCTGATGTCTAGAATTTACAGGCATGGACCGCCTCACCAGGGGTTTACCAGAGATTAAACTCAGGGCTTTCTGCTTGCTAGAAAAGCAGCCTACCTGAGTCACATTCTCAGTCCCACTCTTTATTATTTCTCAAAGGACACAACGCATGTGCACACAACGATAGCGGCATACCTGACATAAAGCTGGTAGATTTCCGATTGTCATGGCTCTGCTTCCTCAGGCAGAAGGGACTGTCATGTGTCTCCTGGGAGGATGGGGACTTCTCACTGAGCAGCTCCATCAGCCTTCGCCTCCGGCGGAAGTTCATTCTGAACTGGTACAGGAGATTGCTGTCCACAAATGGGTGCTTGTTGGACACTGGGGAGAAGAAACAACCCATGAAGAATGCATGGCATGCAGGCCAGAGAGCAACGCAGGCAGAAGACTCTAGCCAACAGGGGCAAAAGTCCCAAGAAAGAGGCTACGCTAGTGCCACGTGGGTTTGTGGAGTGCCCACACACAGTCCCAACTGCTTCTCACATGACATGCATTGAAAAAAATTTGGTAGCCAGCTCCTCTAGAAACAGTTCTTGACTTCATGCCAACCTGAGTTCTCTCCATAGTGTCCTGCTGGCTCCAGCGTCCCCTCCATCAAAATCACCTACCTCACTGCACACTCTTGCTGTTCACTTTCCTTGTTTTCCTACCTAAATAAACACTAGGCTCTCTGGGAGGTGGTCACAGCTTCATTTAAACCTGTGTGCCCAGCACCCAGCCCAGCGCATGTGTATACCCCATCCATACCAACACATGCCCCATACCAACACCTCAGTTCTTTTCTTTTCTCTCTGAGACAGAGTCTACTGTAGCCCAGGCTTGCCTCGAACTCATTGTATGTAGTCAAGGATGACCCTGAGATCTTGGTCATTCTGCATAGCTCCTGAGTGCTGGGATCACAGGTCTGTGCCACTGCACACAGCTTAAGCATGCTAAGGAAACGCTGCACCACCCAATCCGTACTTCTGGCCTTCAGTTCATTCTTAAAAACCAGTCAGCGTGCGTGCGTGCGTGCGTGCGTTCGTGCGTCTAGTGCTGGGTACTAAACCCAGAGCCTTGCACGTGCAAACCAGATACACTGAAAACTACAGCAGCAGACTCATAGTTTTCATTTCTCTTTTTTAAGTTCTGAAATAATTACAAGCTCTCAGAGAGTTTCAAAAAGACAGAGAACACAGCTTTATAACACCATTCTGGCCAGATGAAACACATATTCAGAACAGGACTTCTCTTGGGCTGGAGGGTATCTTGGTGGTTGGCAGAGAGGTTTTATATAATATAATGGTTTGTTTTTCTGAGTTGATGAAATTCTTCTAAAATGATTGCACAACTCTGTATATATATTTTAAAAAAACCTACTGAATTGTACACTTAATTATTTACTTTTATTTCTCTTTCTCTGTGTGTGTATGTGTGTGTGCTTGTTCACGTTTGTCTAGGTGTACTTGTGTGTATGTGCACATAGAGGCCAGCGATTATTTCTCAGGTATTATCTGCCATTTTTTAAAGAATTACTGTTAGTGCATCTATTTATTTACTTACTTATGTATGAAGGGCAGACATGTGCCTACCACATGGTGTGCATGTGGAGGTCAGATAACTAATTATGGGAGAGAAAGTTCTCTTTTTATACCGTGTAGGAGTTGGGGACCAAACCCAGGTCATCAAGCTTGGTGTGCTAGCCAGTGTGCCCCAGGGATTCACCTGTCTCTGCCTCTCCACATTGAGACTGCTAGAGTCAGGCTTTTAGAACTGGGTTGTGGGGACTGAACTCAGGCTCCTCATGACTGCAGAGCAAATATTTCTACCAACTGAGCCATCTTCTCAGGCTCAAATTATATGCTTTAAATGGATGGATTTTATAGTATATAAACATTCAATAAAGTTATTTTTAAGAATCAACAACATACCAGGCATAGTTGGATACACTTATCTTCCCCACACTTGGGTAGGAAGAGGGAAGAGAAACTCCAAGGTGGACATTATACATTTCTTACGAAATTCTATCTAAAGTGGACTGGAAGTTTAATGGAGAGATTATCTGTAGCTTATGGTAAAAACGAGAGTCCTTAAAAATCAACTGAAAAATAATAGACACATAGTGGATAACTTTGTCAGAAGATGGGAAGAGAAGATCCAAGTCAATAATCAAATCCAAAGAATTTTAAAGTTCAACCTGATTTTAAAACCATGTTATCGGGACACAGAGTTAACAAAATGTAACTAATAAGAAAAATAAAATAAAAAAAAAATAAAACCATGTTATCATAACAGGCCTTCAGGTGGGATGTCAGTCTTTTCTCTTTTGAGGAGGAAGTGAGACGAGGAACCAGGGGAGTCCTGGCAGAGCACCCAGTGGACTGAAATCAGGTCCACCATTCTCTCCTTGACCATGAAGACATCTCAGGTAGTCAAAAATAGAGTGACTTTTTAAATTTTTGAGAATTTTTCTATATGGACCTGACTGAACTGGTGTCTCCATCACATAGCCCAGGATGGCACCGAATCTGTAGTAACCCCCCCGAATCTGTTTGTTGAGTGCTGGAATTTCAGGCCTGAGCCAGGAGGCACAGCAAATGCTGGAGTTGTCTGCAAAGGTTGCTTAAGAGCAGGTGAGATAGCTCAGTGTACAAAAAGATGCTTGCTTGCCACCAAGCCTGCTGATCTGAGTTTCATTCCCAGGACCCACAGGAAAAAAGGAGACAACTGACTCTTGTAAGTTATCCTCTGACCTCCACACATGCCTCATTGCACACCCGCACCCCTTCAAGTCCCAGCCACCCACAGATAAATAAACAAAGAGATAAGTAGACAAAGAAAGTAATAAAGATAATCCTCTCACTTAAAAACAATACTTTGTAGCTAGGTGGTGGTGGCAGCCCAAGCTTTTAATAGCAACACTCAGGAAGCAAAGGCAGGTGAATCTCTGAATTCCAGGTCAGCCTGGTCTACAGGGTGAGTTCCAGAAAAGGCAGGAACTATAAAGAGAAACCTTGTCTGTTATAAAATAACCACAACAATATTTTGTGTAATAAAAGCCTGAATATCTATGTTTGCCATTGATAGCTCATCTGTAGGAAAAATAGAAAAACTTTAAAGCTACTCATTATTAGGAAATTTCTTACTTAGGAATGTGAGCTGCAAAATTCTATAAACCGGGCTGGAGAGATGGCTCAGAGGTTAAGAGCACTGGCTGTTCTTCCAGAGGTCCTGAGTTCAATTTCCAGCAACCACATTGGTGGCTCACAGCCATCTATAATAAGATCTAGTGCCCTCTTCTGGCGTGCAGGTGTACATACAGACAGAACATTGTATACATAATAAATAAATAAATCTTAAAAAAATTCTATAAACCACAAGAAACATGACCTAATTCACTATGTACACTATTAACCTCTTTATCTACAACATTAACTGGTTCTCCTGATAGCTCACAAATAGTATTCAGAGTGCGGCTGCATTTATCACCCACATTAATTAATTAGTGTTATCATTGGTAGCAGTATTGCTTTGCAGTGCTGGGAATTGAACATAGGATTTCATATGTACTAAGGACATACTTCACTACTAAGTACATTCCCAGTCCTTTTTTATATTTTTATTGTATGACAGGGTCTTACTAGGTTGCCCAGGCTGACCTTGAACTCACTGCGCAGCCCAGGTAACACCTAAACTTGGAATCCTCTTGCCTCAGTCTTCCAAACTAATAGCATTACAGACCTGTGCTACAGGCCCAATTCCTGCTTATATTAATGTTGGTGATTTATACAGGTGATGAAATGGACATTAAAATAGAAAAATAATTTACTGGTATATTCACCCAGTACCAGTTTGTAAAATACTTTGCTTTTATTATATATATAATCAGAATTCAGAATGTAGGATCCCTATTAGGAGGGTACCAATATTTAATCCAATGACTCTTACGAGAGAGTCACAATCTTAAAATGCTGATAAACTATTTGGTCAAAAGAATAATGTTGGCCTTAGAAACAAAAACACTGGGTTAAGGATATAGCTCAGTGGCAGAGAGTTTGCCTAGCACACACAATGATGAATTAAATCACAGACACTGCCGAAACCCAAAATAAAACACATACACAGAGACACACACACACTCACAAACACATGCACACCTTCCTCCCAAAAATACAAACACACTGATTTGCTGGTAGTTTTGTATGTTCTCACATTCATCTTTTGCTAGCCTAATGCAATGTAGACTGACTAACAAACCAAGTGAGTTATCATATGAGCTATCCAAATTCCTGGCTTTCTCTGAGCCACATTTTAGCATAAATGTAAACGTAACTTATTTTGTGTGATCTTGTCCTCAGTTTAGGGATTAAAGCAAAACATCCCTCATGTTGACTCTCCCAACAGCATTTTGAATTATGACCTGCATGTATATTTATATGACACTCTGTGTATGCTTACTAATGCCTGCTGCTTTCCCTTGGCACCATGAGTTATATGGAACATTGGCTGTGGCACGAATATAAACAGAGAGCAGTCTCGATACAACAGGTTCCATAACAGGCAGTAACAGTATTGTACGGGAGTTCTTTGTTCTGAGCTTGACATGACCCTTGCGGTCATGGGACACACCAGCTCTGATGACCTACCAGAGACCCCTGCCTATGGAACTAAATGGCAAATAGCTAGCTAGCCTATGGGAGTCAAGCTCACCTGCTCTAAGGGTCGTGAAATCCTCAGATGCTCTCCTTCCTGTTCACATGTGTAATCTTAAAAATATGTAGGGGGTAGAAATTCAAGGTGGATGAGACCGTTGGGTGGTGTAGTTGTTTGTGGTCACTCAGGCTCCTGTATCCCCAACAAGTCCATTTATCTCGCCAAGGTAGGCCTGACAAATTCTTTCTTAGGTTTCTGTGCTCCCTACCTATTTGAGATCTCTTCGGCCTCCCTGCACAGGTCAGGCAACAGTCCATCAAAAGTATTTTTCAGTATGGTTCAGAGGTAGAACATTTGCCTAGCACTGACAGGGCCTGGGGGCCATAGCTCAGTAGTAGAATGTTGGCCTCACCTGCGTAGGGTCTGCAGTGCAAGTTTTGGTGTCTTTAAAAACTAAGTTATGGTATATAAACATGTTTTGTCTTAATCCCAGGTGTGGGATAAGGGGCTGCTTCAGACTGTCCACAGAAGCAGGCTATTAGCCTTGAGCAGGCTCTGAGTGGGGTGTGATCTTTGCCAGCTGCCGACAGTTTATTTCTGGTGACTCTGGAGCCAGAAGAGAGAGGGGCCTCTGAGAAAGAAGGCTGCTGCTGTTCCTCACTGCTGCTCCTGTTTGCTGTGATGCAGTT